CGTTCTTGATAGTCAAGCTAATAAGGTATGCAAGTTGCAGAGATCCATTTATGGACTCAAGCAAGCTTCAAAGAGCTAGAACATTCGTTTTGATGAAGCCGTAAAAAAATTCGGTTTTATCAAGAACGAAGATGAGTCATGTGTTTACAAGAAAGTGAGTGGGAGCGCAGTAGCATTCTTAGTGTTATATGTCGATGACATACTTCTAATTGAGAATGATATACCGAACTTGCCGTCGGTAAAGACTTGGTTATCCAAGTGCTTCTCCATGAAGGACTTAGGAGAAGCAGTCTACATCCTTGATATAAAGATCTATCGTGATAGATCGCGTAGATTGCTTGGCCTAAGTCAGAGTGTATATATTGACAAAATACTGAAAAGATTCAGCATGGAAGAATCCAAGAAAGGATTTCTTTCGATGTCACATGGTGTTTATCTCTCTGAGGAATTGTGTCCTAAAACACAAGATGAGAGAGATAGGATGAAGAGGATCTCATATGCATCAGCAATTAGATCCATCATGTATGTCATGCTATGTATTCGGATTGATGTCTCATGTGTTTTGAGCACTTGTAGTAGATATCAATCGGATCCAGATGAACATCACTGGCTGGCCGTCAAGAATATTTTTAAGTACCTAAAGAGGACTAAGAATATATTCTTGGTTTATAGAGGGGAAGATGAGCTCACTGTAAAATGATACAATGATGCCAGTTTCCAAACGGACAAAGATGATTATCGATCGCAATCAAGGTTTGTATTTTGTCTCAATGGCGGTGCAGTGAGCTAGAAGAACTCCAAGCAAAGCATTATAGCGAACTCTACAATGGAGGCTGAGTATATTGCATTGTCAGATGCGGCCAAGGAGGCAGTCTGGATTAAGAAGTTCGTTACTGAACTTGGTGTGGTTCTCACGATTGTTGATCCTATAGACATTTATTGTGACAACAATGGAGCAATTGCTCAAGCCAGGGAACCACGGTCTCATCAGAAATCCAAACACATACTCAGACGATTCCATCTCATCAGAGAGATAATTGAGAGGAAAGACGTGCAGATTAGTAAAGTACATACTGACGACAATCTCGCAGATCTACTGACAAAGCCTCTGTCGCAGCAAAAGCATGACAGACACTTGAGATCATTTGGTATTAAATACATGAATGATTGGCTATAGTGCAAGTGGGAGATTGTTAGAGTAGATGCCCTAGAGCCAATCAATTATTGTANATGCTTCTTTAATTTAAAAATATAAAATGCAACATATCAGTTTATTGATTATTATTATTATTATTATTATTATTATTATTATTATTATCATTATTATTATTATCATTATTATTATTATTATTATTATTATCATTATTATTATTATCATTATTATTATTATTATTAAAATTTTAAAAAATCAAAAAGAAGAAAACCAATTTAGTCTTCTACTAAACACTATCTTTCATTAATTTGCAGATAAGATATTAAAACTATCTTTTAATAAGCATAAGAACATTCAATGGACCACACTCTGCTGGTTATGAACGTCACATCCATATGGAAGATAAAGGTGTAATGGGGTTTAGCAAGAAATATAGTTCAAGATTTCAAGTTTCTCTTCAAGATTTTTAGCACCATGTGCACCTTACAGTAAATATTTATCCAATCAGAAGATGCCGGGAGCACTTTACAATCAATTTATCACTTATCAGCCTATAATATTCAAAATGAGCAGTTTAACAGCTCCCTGGGCAAGTCAGGAATTTCAAGAGGCACCACAGCATCATAATGCAGATTTATAAAGTTTCAGAAGAGAAACATAAATAGTATTAGATTTTAGAGATATAGTGATTGAGAGAATCTTTTATATCATGATTTTCCACAAAGGCAGGAAATCTTAATCCTCCCTTTCACTAATTACATCAAACTTGTGATAATAAGACGTAATAATGTAACGCAAAACACAGCCATCATCCCTTTCATATAAAATCTTATAGAAATTGCAGACATACATCTAATTGCATCATACAATCAACAGATATTGCAAGTTTTTCACTTTAGGAAGGACCAGTATTAGAATGTTGCAAAGAAACTGATATAGGGCAAACATGCAGCAAGCGAGTGGAGGTTAATCGATCCAAACCTCTATAACAGGCTGGACTAACTTTACAAAGCAGACAAATTCAGCACTCACAACTTCAGCAATTCCAGGACAAATAAAATGAACATCCATACAGCATCATCCCCTTGCCTCCAATGGATTCAATTTCATGTTATACCAAAAAAAAAATGTCTTATTTCCTTAATCTGAACTTTAGTAAACTGTAAAAGGTTGAGATCTTTTGATTGAAAAAAGGACATAGACTCTCAACTGTCCATCTTTTAATCCAATGATTAAGACTTGAAGTTAATGAGTAATATTTAATGTTTTTCAACTAAGCAGCTCTCTAAACCCTTAAATTAATGCAGCTTAATGCTTTAGGACTTATGTCTCTTTTCACTTGAAGTTTTAAGTCAAAAGATCTTGACCTTTCGTGAGATACAAATATATAAACTTCAAATACACAGTGACTAAAAACACCCAATTCCCCGTGAATGTCATTTTAACAATCAACAAGCATAATTTGATAATTTATTTGAAATTTCTTCTGAACATTTCCTGTGTCAGTGCAGCAAACAATAAAGCATTAAAATCATAAAATCAAATTTTTTTTCACTCTTTCTCAGCAATCAAACAGAGAGGTCAGAATCACACCTGTGGAAAATACATGTTACTATGCCCAGTCTCCTTGAACTTGACATTCAAATATTCCTGCAAATTATTTATAATGAAATAAATAAATCAATAAATTGAAAAGTATGATGTAATTATTAATAGCATTTTCAAATTTGAAAATATAAGCTTTCAAAAAGCTCAAAGTGTGGTCCAAAAGCCATAAAACAAAAAATAATAACAACCTGAATTGCCTCCCAAATAGCATAACCGTAAGGTCTAATAACCATGGTTCCACGAACCGGACCGTAGTCAGCAAGCTCAGCGTTGGCAATAACATCGAGGTACCATGCATTGAAGTCCTGAGACCTAGGCGTGATGACACGGTCCTGGTTAACTCGCTCTTGACTCACTTTGTTCTTCTGCTTATCTACTCGGCCCTCAGTCTCCGGCGGACTCGAGGCAGCGCTCTGAGCAGAGAATCCAGCGGCGCGCAAAGGCGGCAGGATGTGGTGGCGACGGCGCAGAATCGCAGGAGACTGGCGAGAGACGGAGGGAGACGAGAAGAGTGAAGTAAGAGAGGGTAGCCTCAGAGCTACTACCATTTCCTTGAGTCGTTTAGAGCAAATTGCGCGACGCTCGTGCTGCGTTTTAGTACAGCAGTGGAAAAGCAAGGAGATGAGGTTTTGATGTGAGAAGTCTGCGTAGTGACGTGCATTGCAGATGATGGAGGGTCGGCTTCGTCCATTGATGGATCTATTTTCTTTTGGGCCTAATTTCGTTGCTTAGTTGGCTCATGGGCTTAGAATTTACCTCCAGAACAGACAAGAACAAGAGTAAGAAAAGGACAACGCCCTGGATAAGTTTGAAGAAACTCCGTTGAAACCTTGAATAGAAATGGATTTAAAATAGTTGAGCTTACCCAACCAATAATTTTAAGGTCTCGAAGAATTAGTTGAAATATATGTAAGCTAACTTAAACACCCCTGATCATTAAAAAAAAAAAGATTCATTACATTTTACACTATCGAATTATGAATTAAACAATGGTTATAGATTATTAATTAATCAAATTAAGTTATTATAGTCCGAACTATTTATGTTTTATTATTATTCATTGCAATTTCTTCACGGCATGATCACTTCAAAGTGACAACCTTTTGTTATAGAAAGTTAGCATTTCTTTCATGCTGAACACATCCACAGTTATTTATACTTTTGTTTCATAATCATATGACACTGTAGAGCATCTAAAAAATGTTATTGAACCCAGAAGACAAATCATTTGTAATCAAAAGGCTCCAGTATAACCAAGATAATTGTCATCAATGTGATAATTCCTGTTCTCATGAGATCTATAAAGCGATCACCTTATTAAGTACCTTCTCATATATTGCTACGAAGTTAAGCCATAGTTACAAGCAAATAATTGTCATCACAAGAAAAACTTCAGTTCTTAACTAACGGAGAACTTGCTCGACTACAATCACATTGGAGCTGCATAATATTTGCCTACTAGCGTAGACAAGGATAACTACAAGTCCTAAAAACAAAGAAATTCCTACTTCAAACCAAACACAATATGCAGTACTGAAGTTAACCACAAATATGCACAGTACTGAAGTTAACCACAAATGTGCACAGTACTGAAGTTAACCTTACAAGAAAAGTTCAAACCCAAATTCTACCACAAAAGTTAAACGACCATAATTGCTGACATATTCTATGCACTAGGAAAGTCAATGCTTTGGCAATTATGGTGTCTTTATCAGCATAAAGTTGACTTCTTCATCCCACTGCATACAGCGATTTGGTGATTTTGGAGAATCAAGATCACTGAAATGTTCACTTTTCTGAGGTAATTGAGCATCTCCGAGTCCATGTTCTCCAAGCTCTTCCAATTCTAACCACCTTGGAGGACTTGTAGGCTGAAACTGAAAGAAACTAACATCCATTAGATAATCCATAAATAAACAGCTTTACCGAAACAAGTAAACAACCAAAATAAAAACAGACCTTAAAATCATCCAATGCTGAAGATGCCACCCATGGAGACACTGACTGCTTAGAAAAACCTGAAACAAAAGAACCAATGAACAAAAACAACAATAGAGATTTAAGGATTTTTCAAGTACCACCACAGTAAATATTTAAGTGTTTGTTAATTTTGTTTACCATTATGTAGTCCAACTGTTATCAGCAACTCATCTATGTCCATAGCTTTTGTCCGTGCCTTGAGGCATTCTTCATGGTTGTGTAGAAAATCTTCCTCTGCCAAAGCATTGAGATGTTCCTCCTCCAGAACACTCAGTTTCGCATTCAGATTAGAGGCCTCACGCAGATGAGGCTTCCCAAAATTCGAAATGTCAGAAAGTACTTTCCTGGTGCTGGTCTGTGATTTTTCAGAAGCTTTAGAACTCTTCTTTTTGCTTCCATCAAATGTAATTTTAGAGGCACCGATGTCTTTCTCAATAAAAGAGTTGGAACTAGGCTTCTTTAAGGATTGATTGGGAGTAGGCTTCACCGAATTTGATAAATCACCAAGTGGCTTCCTTCCGCCAAGCCCTCCTTTCTTTAGGGCTTTAGAAACATTGGTCTTCCCCCCAGCAGATGCTGTTGTAGAAGATTATTTAAGTACAATAAGGGTATCGAAAATAAATGAACAACCACATCTCAAATCAAACAGAAAACACAGATGACTTACCATTATAGTGAACATTCAGATTCCTATCATGAATCAGGCTACCAACTTGTGATGCCATCGACTAAGTTTGTGAAACAATTCAGAGCAGTACACTGCAGAGAAAGAAACATATGTATCATATCAGACCAGAAATTTAGAAGAAAAAAAATATTGAATAAATTTCCTCGGTGTTGTGGTTTACATTTTTAATACAAATGAAAAAAGAACCTAAGAAACAAGAAATGGAACTCCCAAGCAAATCAACAAAGTAAGGTACATCTTCAAACACCAATCTGAATGTTTTGTTGTAAAAGAACCCAATTTGAAATCAAACAACAATAAAATAACGAGATAATCCTGATGCTATGGATCTCTCTTTCAACAATGGTTTAAACACCCATATAAACTCTTACCCACGGAACACCCAAACTTTTTCATAATTCTCAATACATTGATTTATTTTCTCACTCCTAAAAGTGTTCGGGTACTATGTTTATCTCAATAATGCAAAATTTGGTTCAACAAAAACAACATCAAAATCAAACACGATGATCTCAAACAGTCCAGCAAGCAACTCTATGTTTCATCATATTCGTTTCTTGAAGTCTCAACAAAAAGCAAATGAGGCCTGCAATTCGAATGCCATGCTAGTTATGCTAAGAAATCCCCGCATCATAGTTTTCAAATTACCAGAAAAAGCCTGGGTCTTCAGTTCACAATTCAAGCAAACACACCCCACCACAAAAACACCTTTCTGAAAAATTTAATTGGTTTTATGCTACTACTACCTTTCCTGTTACCACTAAAAGCTGAGATAAATTAGAAAGAAAGCAACAAAACTTAAAACCTCAGGTAACTCTAATTTCTGAAAGATTAGAAATAGTCTTGATTTAAAAAAAAAAAAACAGCAATAATTAACCTTTTTCTTAATTCCATCAAGAAATTCAAGATTCAAGATTAAAAACCTTTCTAAAAAATCCTCAAAAACCCAAACCAATAAGTTCATCTCAAAATATATTTTACGGCCCTTTAATTCCTAAAATTTACGAACTTCTTCTAAAGTTTCCCCTTATTCCCAGTTTGTTTGCCTAGAAAACAAAGAGAAGAAAACTGAACTTCGAAACCACAAATTAGAGTTTGTTTCTTTGGGCTTAGTTGATGTAAAATGATGGTTATCTTAAAACCCTAAACAACAAAAATCTTCAAATCTAGGGTTTATTTCTAAAATTTTCTCGGTAAACAAACAGATTAGTCATCAGTGGATAGAAAAAAACCACTCTCTAAAGCAATTTCGCACCACATGATAACATCTCTCAAACGAAACGTTAGAAGAAATAAGAAATTTCAGAGGTTTGAGAGAAATAACTCACAAATGGGTGACAAGGATCAATCTTCCTTTCTTGATTCGCTTCTTAATTTTCTCGGCCTTTCCAGACAGTTTTCTCTCTTTTGATCAACAAATCAAATCACTCTCAACAAAACTTGCAGTTGTTATTTGAAATGGGTCTCGAAGAATGTTTGGCTCGTATATGTAGACGGCACTGGGGTTCCAACGGTAACTTTCTCTTTCTTTTACGTTAATGCCCTTCTCTGGACAGGCAATTACGACATATTATTTTCATTTTAAGCCGTACGATGACTTGCATTGATCATTTGATGAGAGGGGTAATGATGCATCGAGTAAAATTAACGGTAAAGTGCCTAAATTGCGAAGTTGTACATGAATAAAGTTGGAAATCCAAGATCACCGTTTAAAAGAAAACAAGAAAATATCATAATTTTTTAGTTATTTACTCAATATGTATTTAAGATTTAATGCAAATATTAAAGTCATATCTATTTTGGATTATGTTAAATTAATTGTTAGAAAATTTTAATAATGTTATATATGTAAGATTATACCCAAATTTCATATCTCAAGTGATTTTACATTAAAGTATTTTTTTTTTTTTTATTTAATAAAGAGTAAACGACTTTTTCCCACCCAAATAATGCTTAATGACACTTTTTCACCCACAAACTTTTAAAATATCACTTTATTACCCAAATTTATATTCCATTTACTACCCAAAATACACTTTCCGATTTGCCGACGAATGGAGGGCAAATTTGATCCAGGATATTGGGGCTTTTGACAAGGAGAAGTTAGTGAGTCTTTTGGTGGTAGCAAGTTGGATTTTGGTAATCGTGATTGGTTAGAATTTAACTTGGGAGGGGTGGTTACGCAAACCCTAATCGCACGATTGTTGGCAATTGGCAGGGCCAGTGAGAGAAAGGTTTGAGAGGTTTTAGTGAGTGATGATCGGGGAAGAGAATGGTAGGGGTTTGGATCGTAATGATGCCGGAATCGATCGACGAGAGTGCACTCACCAGCCAATTCCGGCATTGTTGCTACTAGCATTGTAGGGAGGTTATGTAGGACCCATATGGTGGGGCTTTATTGCGGTTTCCCCATTTTGCTACTTTGTCCCTTCAGTCAAAGAAATTTATATAAACTTGTAATGTGTGACGCTATACAATTTTTCAAAGGTTTTACTACGTCGTAATGTCCCCTTCAATAAAAAAATATGGCAATTTTTTCATTTTTCAAAGGTTTATCACCAACAGCCAGAAATCTAGCCTTCAACGAGAGTCATATCTAGTTGTAGATCTGGCCGGAAAAGGCCAGATCGACGCACGACCAGCCGAATCCAACCGCTAGTATGCCATTCTAGCTACTTCCAACCACGGTCCGGTGGTGGTGGCCAACTGCTAGTAATAGTTGAGTTGGTGGGGTGTTTTTGTTAATTTATAAACTTTTATTATGGGGGGTGTTTAGTTAAATTAACAAATATAGGAGTTAAACTAATCTAAATACTTTTAGAAAATATTTTCCAAAAATGTATTAAACGCATTCTTAGAATCTTATCTTATTCATAATAAAATACTATTCCAAAAACTTAAACAAACACAACCTAGGTATTTCAAAAAAAAAAAATCTATTATAAAAAAATATTTATTTTAAATAAAAAAAATTAAAATTAAGAGAATATGAAAATCGACCCAAAGTTGCAAACAAGTTGTCACCAGTGAACCACTGATAACGAGTAGAACAACACTACTGATACCATTCTAACTAATTGTTGTCACCGATAAAACCACCAGCAGTGAGTGAGACAACACCACTAGCACCATTACCATTGAAATTGTCCACTGAAGCTCTATTATAGAATATAAGCTTAATTACATCAGAAGGTATCAAACTATCACTTTTTTCTTATTGAAGGTATCCAACTATTTTTTTTTCAATTGAAGGTACTAAACTATCTATTATTTCTATTAAAGGTACAGAACTTTAAGGGTCCGTTTGTTTTATTATTTTGGGAATAATATTAGGTAGTTGAATAGGGGAGTATTACGAGATAAAATTTAAAAATTTACAAAAAAAAACCCCTAGGTTTGCTAATTTAACTAAACACCCCAATATATAAAAATTTTATAAAATAAAAAAAACACCCCCATCCACCCACAGTGCCATATTCTGGCCACCATCGCCGGAATCTGGCTGAAAAATGGCTTTACGATGCAGACCAGTCGAAATCTAGCGGGTAGAGTGTCGATATGGCCTTTTTCAGCCAGATCCATGGTGGATCTGGCCAGAAAAGTCCAGATATACGGCCAGAAAAGTCCAGATCTGGCTGTCAGCGATGGCCAAAGATATGGTCATTGTTGTCGATCAACAATGGCCAAGATTTGACCGTCAACGACGGCCATTTCTTTGGTCATCGCTGACAGCCAGATCGGTGAATTACCGGCCAATTCTGGTCATTTGTAGGTCATTGTGATAGATTCTGGCAACCACCGGTGGGTGGGAGTGTTTTTGTTAATTTTTAAACTTTTTTTCTGGGGGTATTTAATGAAATTAATTAACTTAAAGGGTCTAAAAGTTATTAAAAAAATACTATTTTTTCTCAAATAACAAAACAAACAATATTTTGGGAATAAGATTGGAAATATAGGTAAAAATAATATGTCAAACGGAGCTTAAGTTTTTTTTATTGAAGGTGTCAAACTTTATATTTTTCCCTACGGCGTTAAATATTGATGACATGACATTTTTTCTGTAAAAAATCACTGACATGACAATTTTGTTGTGTTTTTTGGACATTATAACGTGACAATAAAAGCTGACTCAGACATTTATAAACAAAAAAATCTCAAATTAACCCCTTTTTTTATTATTTAAATAAAAACCACCTAAAATAAATAAAATCTACAATAAAAACTTATCCTAATTAAAACCCACCTAAATTGCATTTGGGGTGTCAAATAACTTTTCATAGAAATAATGAATAACTCAACACAGAAGGATAAGCATGAGCTATCATTCTCGATTCCTGTATTTACCGATTCCAAAACTCAAATGCGGTTTTCATAGACCCGGTTCGTGTACTCAACCAATCCTATACGGCTATACCCCATTTAGGGTTTCCCAATCTGCATATTACTCTCGTTTCTTCGAAACCTAAGTTTCTTCAAATTCAAAGAAATGAAAACGAAAGCAGAAAAAATCTCACATTCTTAACGAAAGAGAACGAGCTGTCGATCAACGTCACCAAGTAACCATTGGTTTTTTATTTTATTAATTCAACATAAGAATTTGATAGGTCTCTTGCTTAAAATTTATTTTCCTGTCAATTCTGGTGTCAACTAAAACTTGGAGTTGTTTGGATTCGGTTGTCGTGTTTATTGCAGGAAGTGAAGCCGATGTTATTGAAGGCGTATGAAGCTCTGTTAGGTGCTACAGATCTTTTAATGGTTATGGGAAAATTGAGGATTGAGATTTGTTCTTCATCAAAATTGGTGTTGAAAAATCGTGTTTTGAGCTTGGAAGAGTGTGGCAAGCCCCTATGTATGAGATAACTTTCAATTTTAATCAAGGTAATGAACTGCAGTATTGTAGTTTTTATCGGCCCTACAAAAGTCCACGTCAACGCATCAACTCTCATAAATTTCCACGTATATATTTTAAAATTAAAAAAAGAAATTCACGTTATTTATTTTTAATGATACAATAAGTCAGTCATTAAAATGTTTGAC